CCACACCCCCAGCCGGACTCCCCCAATAGGGACAACTTAGGCATCCCCTCTAGCCTCTTTCCTCTTCATCAAAACGGGGACCCTCAGCAGTTCGCCCCTCTGGTTGGCGTGAGATTTCCATCACACGGTCAGCTGCAGTGAAAGTATTCAATATGGCCACCGTCACCCTGACCTGTGGCCTCTCCCGGGACAGCCCTTGGGGCCCGCCTTGCCACCCAGGCTCTCCTGGCCTCCCCTGAGACTTGGCCCGCCTGTTCCTGGACCGTTGCCTCCCAGCTCCTGCCAGCGCCCTGCCGTCTCCCCCCAGCTCACTGTGGTCCTTTGGCCTCACTTTGGTTGGCAGTTTCCCATCTGTCCTTCCAGGTGAAGCTGGGTTGGAGGGCTCCTCAGGAGGCAGAACCCCCAGCCCCTCGCTCCAGCAGCCCCAGCCTCGGGTTCTCTGCATGGCCAGCTTCCACTGGAAAACTGAACTCTTCCACTTTCACAGCTGACTTCAGCCTTGGCTGACCTTCCCCTTCTCTGAAAAGGTTTTAGTTACTGTGACCATCAGTCCTGGATTTGCATGAAGGAAAGGAGGGGAGGGAGGAGCTTACCTCAGCGAGTCCTAGGCCAGCAACTGGGAAATGGCTGAGGCACTAACTGTAAAATGAGCTGGGCGCCTGTTGCACTGTTTTGCTCCTTTTGCTCACTTTGGGGAGCAAACTTGTTTAAGATGGGAACTCTCTGTTCTTTAAAAGTTTGGTAGGGACTTCCCTGGTGGTGCAGTGGTAAAGACTCCGTGCTCCCAATGCAGGGGGCTCGGGTTCGGTCCCTGGTCCAGGAACTAGATCCTGCATGCATGCCTCAACTAAGAGTTTGCATGCCGCAACTAAGGAGCCGGTGAGCTGCAACTAAGACCCAATGCAGCCAAATAAATAAATGTGTTTTTAAAAGTTTGGTAGAACTCACACACACAAAAACAACATGTGGCTGAAGCTTTTGAGGGGAAGTGGGAATGGCTTTCACCACTTCAATTTTCTTCTTGCGTCGCCATTCATATTTTGTATTTTTTCAGTATTGTATCTATTTCACGTATGTTTTCAAATTTATTAGCTTAAAATAAAATACTTCCTAATTCCCTCCCTTTTCTTTATTTTTTAATTGAGATATTATTGATGTATAACATTATATTAGCTTCAGGTGTACAAAATAATGATTCAATATTTGTATATATTTGCAGTATATATAAGTCTAGTTAACATCCATCACCACACAGTTAGTTTTTTTTCCTTGTGATGAGAACATTTAAGATCTATTCTCTTAACAACTTTCAAATACACAATACAGTATTATTAACTGTAGTCACCATGCTGTACATTACATCCCCATGGTGTGTGTGTGTGTATATATCACATTTTATATTTCTATCTCATATCTATCTATCTACCTACCTGTCTCATATTTTCTCTATCTATTCATCCAGTGATGGAACTTATGTTGTTTCCATGTCTTGGCTATTGTAAATAATGCTGCAATGAACCTGGGGGTGTGTGTATCTTTTCGGGTTAGTGTTTTCGTTTCCTTTGGATAAATCCACAGAAATGGAATTGCTGGCTCATACGGTAGTTCTATTTTTAATTTTTTGAGCATCGTCGATACTGTTTTTCCATAGTAGCTGCACCAATTTACATTCCCACCAACAGTACACAAGTGTTCCTTTTTCTTTACATCCTTGCCAACACATGTTATTTCTTGTCTTTTTGATAATAACCATTCTAACAGATATGAGGTGACACCTCATTATGGTTTTTTTTGTTTTGTTTTGTTTTGTTTTTGTGGTACGCGGGCTTCTCACCGTTGTGGCCTCTCCCGTTGCGGAGCACAGGCTCTGGACGCGCAGGCTCAGCGGCCATGGCTCACGGGCCCAGCCGCTCCGCGGCATGTGGGATCCTCCCGGACCGGGGCACGAACCCGTGTCCCCTGCATCGGCAGGTGGACTCTCAACCACTGCGCCACCAGGGAAGCCCCCATTTATTTTTTAACCTGTTTAATTTATTGGTTTTGAGAGAGTTCTTTTAAATTTCCATATACAATTGCTTATTTCTCCCTGCACTTCTGTCAATTGTTGGCTTATAAATATTTTGAGGTTATATTGTTAGAGGCATATGTTATTTTATCATGATTATATCTTTATACATGATTGATTCTTTTATCAGTATTTAATGTCCATCCTTGTTATTTGTGATATTTTTTCCTTGATTGCCATTTTATCAGTTATTAAAATCACTATCTTAGCTTTCTTTTCATTCAAAGCAATGTGGAATTTCTAATATTATTTTCAGTCTTTCATTGTTTTTTGTTTTTACGCTGTCTGTAAATAATATATCGTCAGGTTTATTTTTTATTCTGCAAGTTCTTTCTTTTTATTGATAAGTTTAACCCAGTTACATTTACCCTTATTATTTCCATCTTACTCCATAGTTTCCATTAACTGTACTTTCTTCTTGTTTCATTTTATAGTTTTTGTATGTTAGTCCATATTGAGTTAATTTTTGTATAATTTTTGTGTTCATTTTTTGGCTTGTCAATGCCCCATCGTACCAGCACCATGTGTTGACAAGGGTCTCCTTCCTCCATCGAATTGCTTTTGCATCTTTGTAAAAACAAATCAGATGGCCATGGCTGTGTGAGTCTATTTCTGGATTCTCTATTCCATTCCATTCATCTATGTGTCTCTCCCTCCACCAATACCACACAATCTTGTTCACTGTAGTTAGATTATAATCCATGACACTGGGTAGAATGATTTCTCCTAATTTGTTCTTCTTTTTCTAAAGTGTTTTAGCTACTCAAGGTCCTTTGCCTTTCCATATATATATATATATATAACAGTAAGCTTGTTTACAAAAAAATCATGTTGAGATTTTTCTATGAATTGTGTTAAACCTATAGCTCAATTTTGGGAAAATTGACATCTTTACTGTGTTGAGTCTTCCATTGTTTCTCCATGTATTTAGGTCTTTAGCATTTTGTAAGTGTCATCACACAGATCTGGTACATGTTTGTTATATGTATATCTAAGTACTTCATTTTCTTTAGAGTGATTGGAAGTGGTGTTGTGGTTTGAATTTTGGTTTCCGCATGTTCATTGTTAACATGTAGAAATACCATTGATTTTTACATGCTGCTCATTGACTTTTATTCTCCTTCTTTGCTTTCTATGGATAGATCAAGTTTTCTTATGTTGCTTTAAAAATTGTATTTTTGTTCTTGTTTTGGTTGTTCTTAGGACCGTTTCCAGAGACTTTATTTGTTTGTTTGTTTTAATAATTGTCACTAGTTTCACTGGAGAACAGGTCAGCAGATCTCTTCGGGCTGGGATGCCAGAAGTTCTCTCTCCCACACTAGTTCACCACCTTGACCGGAGACTCACCTGGGGAATCTTTAACAAGGGCAAAGACCTCAGCATGCGGTCACTCTTTCAATCCATCATGTCCCACTGCAAGTGTTGGGGACACTGGCCTTAGGCACTGATCAGCAGATGGTTCCAGCCCCAGGCCTGGCTTCCTTCCACCTGCAAGCAGTCCCACCTACCCTTTCCCAGGCCCTAAGGAGACAGATCCTGCTGCCTCCTTCTCAGCCATGCCTCTTTCCTTGTGTTGCATGTACAGAACTCAGTGGGTCCTGGTGTCCCCCCTGGTCTGTAAGCAGCAGCTGTGGCTCCAACAAGAGGGATGTAATCATAAGTCAAGGCCTCCTGTACCATTGACTGATTTGTGCTCTACTTTCTTTATCCTCATTGGCCCTGAGTGTCTTGGCACCTACCCAAGCAGAAAAGGTCCTTAAAGTTCCTTTTGTCCAGTGGCTTTCAACCATAGCCACACATTAAAATGACCTGGGGAGTTTAAGAAATGTCAGTGTTTTTGTTCCCCACCCTAAGTCAACTAAACCAGAATCTCTGTGGGTGCAACTGGATGTAGATGTCTTTGAAAGCCCTCACCCACACCCCCAGCCCCCAGGAGCTTCAAAAGTACACTGAAGGTTGAGCACCACTGCTCTCAATCTAATCTTTTCATTTGCCCAGAGAACAGAAGTGACTTGCGAGTCACTCATTTAATGACTTTAGACTAATTGCCTCGGCTTTGTGTCACCACTCTCCCCTTTTGTCGGGTGCGTCCTAACTGATTTCTCTCAGTTATGCCTCTAAGGCCAGGTCAAGACAGAGCCAATAGCCTACCACTATTCACGATCGTGTGGCATCGTTCTTTTTTTTTGGCGGTACGCGGGCCTCTCACTGTTGCGGCCTCTCCCGCTGCAGAGCACAGGCTCTGGACGCGCAGGCCCAGCGGCCACGGCCCACGGGCCCAGCCGCTCCACGGAATGTGGGATCCTCCCGGACCGGGGCACGAACCCGTGTCCCCTGCATCGGCAGGCGGGCTCTCTACCACTGTGCCACCAGGGAAGCCCGGCATTGTTCTTAAATAGCTTCCCCACACCTACAGCGTGAGTTCCTTCTGGGCTGAACCAACCCCTCTGCGTCTCTGGCGCCTCCCCGCACAGGCTGATGCTGGCCTCCAGAGCCAGCAGGAAGCGTGGGGGGCGGCCTGAAGGGCCCTGGCTTGGGAGTCAAACCAAGTTTGAGTTTTGGCTCCACAATGCAAACCTTCCTGAACCTCAGCTTCTTCCCCCGTAATAGGAGCTGCAGTCTCTACCTTCAGAGCTGGCTTTACCGTCAGGATCCCTGGCTCACACAGGCCCCGTCCAAAGCCCTGGGGGGGACTCTCCCAGTTTTGGAGTCCCATGTTTTATTCTGTTTCATAAAGCGAGCTTCCCCGAACTTTACCGGTTTTAGACGCCGCAAACCTTGGGTCTGCTCCTTCCTACCCCACAGAGTAGCTGTTGTGGAAGGTAAATGAGATCCAGTTCATAAAGTGTGGGGCGTGCAGTAGATGCCCCAAAAATACTTCCCTCCAGAACAGCCCAGAAAAGGGTCGGAAAGACAGACAGATCCAGAGCTGCTGTGCTTGCTCCATGCCCTTTTTAATGTCCAACATCTTGGCCATTCAACAACCCAGCCCCCGTCCAAGGGTGTCCTCTGGGGTCCAGACACAAGTGGGGAAGACGCTAAGGCACCTGGCTCTGGAGGGGGGCCTCCTTAGCGTTGATGTAGCCGTGGATCCAGTCGAGGTAACGGCTGACTTTGGTGTAAACACCGTAGTTGTTGAGGCGCCCGCAGCCCTCGCCCCAGCTCACCAGGCCCACCAGAAACCAGGTGCCGCGGAAGGAGACGACCATAGGCCCCCCGCTGTCGCCCTCACAGGCATCCCGCGGGTCCCCCAGGATGCCGGCGCACAGCATGTTCTCGGAGATCTTGTTTTGCATGGCCAGAACGCACATATTGTGCGGGACCAGGGGGACCCTGACGAAGTTGAGGACGAAGGTGCGGTTTCTCTTGGCCTCGCTGCGGTAGCCCCAGCCTGTCACCACCGTCTCCTGGCCGACCTGGGTGAGCTCGCGCTCCGACAGGCCACTGTCTGGGAGGCAGATGGGCACAATGGTCTGCGAGAGAGTGGCGGGCCGGGCCAGGTGGAGCAGCGCGATGTCATTGTCACTGGTGCTCTTGGTGTAGTTGGGGTGGACGAACACCTCCTTGATGTCCAGGTCCACTTCCCACTTCTCCCGGCGCCGCAGGTCATACTCCCCTGCAGGGCAGAGGGGCTGTCAGAGTGGGCTTGGGAGAGCCTCCCTCCCCTGGGGCCTCCTGAAGCCAACGTGGCTGCCACGCTCCTGCAGGCCCTCGTGGAGGGACAGCAGGAGTGGTCACCACGTATGCCCGGCACTGTCCTGGGCCACATGGTCCCTATCAAGGGTAACAGCCCATGAGTGTCAGTCCTAAAGGGGCAGAACGCTGGTCTGAATTCAGGACTGGGTCATAAACGGAGCAGTGAGGCCTGGGAAGTGACCGGCGGTGGGCAGTCAGCAGGGAAGCCTGAAGCTCCCTGGAGACCTGGGACATAGACCAGAGCCGCAAAGAGAACATGGGACACCTGCCAAGATGGGGGCAGGGCAGGAGCAGCCAGCCGGACACAGGCTCCACCAGGGAAGAAAGATCTGGACCACACACAAGACACAAGGTCTTCTCAGGCGAGGCTGCTGGTTCCTGGAAAGGGGGGGGTGAGGGCTCTGCCTCCAAGCCCAGCCCCGCTGGAGGCCACTGGCCTCTGCTTGTGCTGGGCGTGATGGCAGGGTGTATGAATCTGGTCATTCACTCTCAGTACGGATCTTTGCCTCTTTTTTTTTTTTTGCATAAAGATTGGAGTGAGAGAACCCTCGCCCCCCAGAAATTGGTAGAGAGTGGGGTCTAGGCTCGGGGAGCCCTGGGCTGTTGCAGGGAGGCGGCTGGCTGCTGTGCCAGATGCCAGGGCCCCCGCTGCATGGTCCATCCCTGTCACCCTGTGTGAAGCGTGGCCCTGCACCCCAGGGTGCTGCAGGTCCACACACATGGCCACTCCACATAGTGAGAGTGAAGACACAAGTATGTGTGTAACCTCCTCGCTGGCAAACACACGTGTGTAAGCACCTGGGCACCAGATTCGAAGAGAATCCCTTCCGTGCAAACTACCTGGTGTCATTGTGTCTAAAATGCCGCCACAGGAGTGGCAGGGTGGGAGCACACGGGCCTCTTCCCCCAGATGCCTTCTGTGCGGCTCTGGTGTCGTCTTGCTCAAGCACCCCGGAGACCAGGCTCCCCACCCGGCCAGCCCGTCTGGGCCACCCCTCCGGCCTGGTTCCAGCCCGCACCTAGCCTGACGATGAGCTTCTTGCGGTCGTCCAAGCAGTGGGCCGCTGTCAGCACCCAGGAGACGTGGACAAGCACCGCCCCGCAGGCCAGCTTCTTCTTCGAGTCCAGCAGGATCACCTGTAATGGGGGGTGGGCAGTGACGGCACCACACGGCCTTCTGACAGCTCCGTGTCAGGGCCCCCGCTCTCAGCACAGCCCCAGGCACTAGCTGCATAAATAGGTCTTCCCTGGGTTCCCTGGGCACACGGGCATGGACTTTTTTGGCATTTTCTTTTCTGCATGTTTGATGGAGTTTGCCCGTTCCAGGGTATCTCCCCGCCTTTGCCTGTGCTGTTCCTATAACCATCCTCAGCAGCACCCGGAGAGTTCTCCTCACCGTCGGGGGCTCAGGCTGCTCGTCGAGTCCTCTGAGAAGCCTTTGAGGCCCCCAGGCTGCCTTGGGAGCCCTCTCCAGGTTCCCTCAGTCCCTGTCCTGTCAGCCGGCTCTGGTCCCATTGGGTTACCATGTGTTTAGGAGCCTGAATCTCCTGGGGGCTGTGAGCTCCCCAAGACCTGCCAGTCCCCTGCTTTTTTTTTTTTTTTTTTTTGCGGTACGCGGGCCTCTCACTGTCGTGGCCTCTCCTGTTGCGGAGCGCAGGCTCCAGATGCACAGGCTCAGCGGCCATGGCTCACGGGCCCAGCCGCTCTGCGGCATGTGGGATCTTCCCGGACCGGGGCACGAACCCGCGTCCCCTGCATCGGCAGGTGGACTCTCAACCACTGCGCCACCAGGGAAGCCCACCACCACCCCCGCTTATTGATCTCTGGACAATTTTCCCCCCGACCCAGTGCCTGGCAGAGATGGGGACCAAATAAGTGCTAGTTCCCATGGCGGGGCAGAGGACAACCCTCCCTCCCAGCCCTTTCCCACGCAAAACATTGCTCCCCTCAGCCAGGCGTCTGCCTCAAATACCACCAGCAGAGCATTATCTTTCCAGCTCTTTTTAAAAGCTATACCTCTCCTTCCTGCACATTCCCCCTTGGCCCCCGGTGCCCAGCCCACCCTGCCCGGCTGCTCCTCTCCCATCGGGTTAGCGCCATCTTTCCCTGCAACCCTCCACCCTTAGCACTGCCGCCCCCCAACCCCGCAAGCAAAGGCTGCACTTCCCTTCCCACAGGTGCCTCCTGAGCAGGAACTGGGTGGGCTCAGTGACTCCTGACCCAGCTGGTGAGCCGCTGCCTCTCTCTCCTCTCACCTGCCAGGGGCTCTCTCCCCATCCGGCCTCCTGCCCACTGATGAGCCGTGGATCTAATTGGCCTTCTTGGTCTACTTGGTCTGTGTCACGTTTCAAGTTCTTGCGTTTCTTCTCCATTCGCTTCCCTGGCCTCCCACAAGGGAACGTCACTGAAGGCAGGGGGAGGCTGCTGAGTGCCTGCTGGGTACTGCTCCCGAGACTGCTCTCCCACCTCTGTCCCCCTCCTGCCAGCAGCCTCCTTTGCTGCCTTGTAGGATAAATGATGCTCAGACGCTCAATTCTATCAACTTGCAAAGCCCCTCGGGATAGTCAGTCGGTTAACGAACAGCGCCACTTAATGGCAAGAGTCGGACCAAGCAGCATCTCTACCTAGCGGTGCGCCCTTGGGCAGGTCGTTAAAGTTCTCAGAGTTGGGACACCCCAGGGCTGTTGGGAGTAATCCCTGAGATGCACAAGTAAGGTCTCAGCGCTGGGATACTGCCGAGCTCCTAACAGAGGTAAGGACTTATGGGGAGGAGGAGGTGGACACGCCCAGAGAGCCGCAGAGTGGCTCTGAGCACAGCTGTGAGCTCCAGCCCAGAGAAAAGAGCACTGAGCAGAAGTGAGGGCTGGGAGGCGGGCCAGGGCCATTCAGGCTGCGATGGCAGATTTAGACTCGCGAGAAGCAGTGGGACACCATCAGCAGGGGGATCGCCTAGTGACAGAAAAGGGAGATGAAACAACAGCGCCAAGATTCCAGAAGCTGGACAGCAGAGGGACATGGTAACTGACTTGGCCGACTGAGAAAGCCGAAACCTCAGCCAGTGGTAGGAGACGCAGGGAGCAGGCTGCTTGGCAACACAAACGCCCAGGAAGCCTCCACGTGTCTCTGAAGAAGCTGTGCAGGTGGGGCTACAGCAGGAAGGTTGAGAGCTTGTCAAAGAAACTGCTAGAGCCCTAGGCTTCTGTCTCGACCCCTCATCAGTGGCTTGACTCTCCTCTCTGACCCCTGCAGAAGACCCTAGGTGTATTCTCCACAGACGGTGAACCAGAGACCTGGGGACTCCAGGCACCGCCACAGGAAACAGTGACACGCAAGGCTGACCAGAGAGAGTCACGCAGACATCTGCAGACGGGGCAGATGCCAGTTCCTCTCCCCCTACTCTCCCCAGGGGGCTGGAAGCCAGGCTGGGACCACCCAAGCATGAACTTGGAGGATTACTCTCAGAAAAAAAGCCTAAAGACCTAAGAATCTGGGCAATAGGGGTTCTGCCAGTGACCTGGGCCTTCAGATGGTCTCACAGAAAAGCCCACCAGCCAACAGGTCCACCAGGCATTTCTTTGCACCTTCCTGTGAATCTCTAATTACTTTAAAAGGAATAGTTGGCTTTTTTTTTTTTTTCCAGTAAAAGGACTGGAATATAAAGTTGTGGAAAGTTCCCTGAAAGAAGAACACAAAGTCAAAGATACGGAAAATAGAAGAGATAATGTGATAATAAAACTAGAAGATCGATCCGGGGAAAGAGATCTGATTAGGAGGTGCAGAAAGAGAGAACAGAGAAAGCACAGGGCAGGTCATCAAGGAAATAACTAAAGAAATGTTCCTAGAGATAGAAGACACGCATTTCCACATGAAAAGGGCGCTGCACAGTGAATGCGAGAAGATCCACACGGAGGAACAACCTGCTGAAATCATGGTAAGAGCTGTGAAACTCCGACTGTTGCGTAAGTATATAGATCCGATAGAAATTTCAATGTATAAAAAGGAAAGTAGAAGAGGGGGCAGAATCACGGTTCCTGTCTCTCCTCAGGGAAGCCAGAGGTGAAGGCGGAAATAAAACCGTCAAGAGAGATGAGGAGGACGCTGGAGGCGTGCCCGCCCCATCCGCTCCTCCCTGGGGAGATGCGCTACCTCTGGGTTCTTGCTCCAGGCCACGCCCCCAGAGTGGGCAGGGTCCCTGGAGGAAGGCGGGCGGGCGAGGGCAGGAGCGGGCAGGAGACCCGCCGAGGGCACCCTCCCTCCCCGTTGGGGCGGCCCGTCTCCTTCGCCTGGGACTCGGCCCTGTGGCTTGCTCACCGCCCGGGCGCCCCGTGCTGTCCCCCATCTGCGGCTCACCTTTGGGCTCGCAGAGCAGGTGGTCGTCCCCCAGGCGGTAGCCGGGCGCGCAGCGGCAGTGGCGCCCGCCCTCCTCCTCCAAGCAATAGTGCGCGCAGCCGCCGTTCTCCGCCGAGCAGTTGGAGAAGCGAGCCTCTGCGGGGGACCGGCAGGAGGGCGCCGAGAGAGCGCGGCGCTCTGCGCGCCCGGCCCCGCCCCCGGCCCCGGGGAGCTCCCCGGCCCGCCGCCCGCCGCCCCTCACCTTGAAGGCAGAAGCGGCCCTCCCAGCCCTGCGCGCAGTCGCAGCGGAAGCCGCCCAGGCCGTCGATGCACGTGCCGCGCCCGCAGCACGGGCTGTCGCACGGGTGCGTCGGCGGCGGGGCCGCGCATTGGTCCCCGTCTGCGACGAGGAGTAAGGAGGGGATCACGGGGGTCCGCCGGCCAAGTCCCCGTGCCCCCAGCGGCCCAGAGACCTCGAGGGGCACGGGCACCGCGGCCAGGGGTCTGGAGCGCACTCACCGTGGTACTTGGACCAGAAGGCCATCTGCGGAGAGAAGGGGCGGTGTCAGGGGCCGTCAGCCCACCTGTGTAGATGGGGAGCCCCCGGGGCCCCTCCCCGGGCTGGCCCAGGTCCGGCAGGCAGCATCTAAGCGGGCAGGGAAGGGAAGGGCTTCCACACAAAGAGGGGTCAACCCCAGCCTCTGGGCAGCTGCACCCTGAGAAAAGCCAGGCTCCTTGCCCCTCTGCCCATCTCCACCCCACATCCCAAACCCGCCCCCCCGTTTCCCGCCCGTGCAGCTGGAAGCGTCCTCTGGGCGCTGGCTGCTACCTCAGCAGCCTCTGCAAAGGAAGGGACCCAAATCCCACCCCCCACCCCCAGGGTGCTCTGCCTGCTTCCAGCTCCATCCCTCCAGGCACCGGGCGTCTGCTCTTTCCCTGAGCCTGGCCTCAGAGCTGGGTGACGAGCAGGACATCGTGTGCGTGAGACACGGCTTTTGCCGGTTCAGAAAGTCTGCTTTTCTAAACAGCTCTCTGGTGGCACTTCTGCTGCTGGGCTGGGACCACCAGTCCCTGAGATCCACTGCTTGATGCCCAGGCCGAAAGCCCCCCTGCTGGCCTGGGAGACCCTGGGCGGGGGGCACTGGAGGGGTGTGATGTGCCCAGGCTGTGCCTGCCGAAAATCATCTTGGCATCAGCTGAGGAGGCCATTTGGGGGAAGAGGCAGTGGAGATGGGGGCTGAGGGCAAGAGAGGAAGCCACCCAGAGCTCCGCCTTCAGCTGTGAGAGCTGAGTGGGAAAGGCATGCCTACAGACAGCTTGAAGGGGACCCAGGTGGTGGCACAACCCCCAGCTCCTAGTCGCTGAAGTGAGCTCTGGGTGCTGGAGGGGGTCTGAGCCTTGTATCAGGAACACCTCCCTTACCGAGCGCATCCTACCACCTCAGGGCCACCACCACAGGGCCCTGGGGGCCACAGAGGACACAGACCCTTTCCTTGGATCCCCTGAGCAATCAGGTTTCACCCCTGGAGTATCTAAGGCACAGAGTGAGTGTGTGCGCCCAGACATCAGGGAGTCTTGGGTCACCTGGTCAGCAGGGTGGAAGCAGGGGTGATGGCCTCTGGATCAGAGGGAGAGAGAAGAGGGGAGGCTGGGGTGGCCAGTCACAGGTGGAGAGGGGGACTGAGCTACCTCCAGTGGGATTGGGTGGGAATCCCTGCCTAAGGCTTCCCCAGACGCTTCTCACGCTCATTGCAGAGTTCTGTTTCTTGGAGTCCCACGTGCCCTGGCCAAGACCATAGGGCCGTTCACTCCACTGCTGCACCCCTGGCAAGCTGGGAGGGTAAGGGGCTGGTGTCCACCGCTTCCCAGGACTCCCAAGGGGCCCCCGGCTGCCGCTCCAGGTCCCACCCCTGAGCCTCACGCTCTGCACCCAGTCGGGCGGCCTTACTGTGTCTTCCATGTTTTGGAAAATCTCCCGAGCTTCCTCAAATTCACAGGTCTCCTCTATGCACTCGCGCTTCAGGCTGCCGGGCCGCAGCTCCTCCAGGAAGGTGTTGGCGCGTTTGCGGATCCGCAGCACCTGGTGGGCACGCTGGTGGCTGGAGAACACTGAGTCTGGGAGGGAGACAGGGAGCTCGCGTTGGTGGGGGGCCTGGCTGGCGAGTCCCTGCGGAGGTTTTCGTCTTGGGTCCCTCAGGATTATAATTCCAGGTACCGATACCCTCTCCTCCTCCCGAAGCAGGGGGCCGGCCATCGGAGGACAGGACACTTGACCATTCAGGGTGCGTGCACTGATGCCGACAGACCTCCCTCCCTCCGAACCCAGCCCGACCTCCGTGTGACCCTGAGCCCATGTCTTTACCTCTCTAAACTTCAGTTTATTCATCAAAAAATGAGGATGGGATAATCACGTAAAACACTTAGTACGGAAATGAGCGGCCAGTGACAAATGCCACGTGCTGCTGCTGTTGTTATTATTATACTGCAAAGGTAAGTGGGCCTCGTTCTCCAGATATACCTTGTGCAACCCCATCGTGAAGCCGTCCCTCCATCCTCCCTGCCCTCCCCTCCTCCTGTCCCCCTCTTGGAGCATTTCCCACGCCCTTCCCCTGGGCAGGCACACCTGGACAAGGCAGACCTGCCACCCGGGGAGCATCACCAAATGTCTCCTGGGCTCTGAGAGGTGTCTGCCTTGGGGGCAGGGGGACAGCTGGGGTGGAGGGACCAAAGCAGGGGAGTGAGCAAGAGAGGCTCGAGGGTGCCGGGACCAGGAAGGGCATCCTCAGGAAAGGAAGATGTGCCAGACTGAGTCTGGACATAGGAGCCAAGAGGACCGCAGGTGGGAACCGGGGCTGGGAGTGGGGAGGAAGGGCCACCAGGAAGACAGAGCAGCTCAGGAAGAGGCATAAATGGAAGAAAGAGCCCACGGTGGCTGCAGGAGGTGTGGGGGGAGGGCCGCCTAAGAAACCAGGCAGCACAGCTGTCCCGCGGGCCTCCTCCTCTCCACATCCTGGTCCCCTGGCCGTGGGGACCAGGGGAGGGGTTGGGGCAGGGTAGCGGCCAGCAGATGAGCATTTTAGGAGGACAGGCTGCTCTGGGGCAGTTTGCGTGGCAGCGGGGCCTGGCGCTCTCACAGTTGAGGGAGTGAACGGTGGAGTGGGGGGACCCAGGGGACTCTGTGACCAACCCCCCAGGTAGGAGGAAGGACGTGACCCCGCGACCCCGGGGGCTCCCTGCCATCGCCACAGGACTCAGCCCCTGAGCTGCGGCCTGCCGCTGTGTTCCCCTCGGTTAATTTATCCCTGTTCCCTCAGGTCCGCCTCTCATCTCCTCTCGCCCTGAGGCTCAGGGGAGACGGTGAAAGGTGTGAAGACCCCGAGGGTCCCGAGGAGGGGGTGGGAGAGTGGCCTTACCGGGAGGAGCTGGTGCGCTGGAAACTCCCCAGATGGTCACGAACAGTAAGAGGCCTGTAAGCCGCCACATTCTGAAGTTGCTGCCACCTGTCTGAGGAGGACTTCTGAGCTTCCGGCAGCCGCGCCAGCCCCCGCTCTGCCCCCTTCCCCGGCCCCGGGTGGGATCGCCAGGGCAAAAGCTGGGGTCGGGGGTCCCTGTTTACTATTCAGACACCCACGTGGCGCCTCGGTCCCCTCGTCTATATGGGGCTAAGGTCACACGACCCGAGCCTGCAGGGTGAAGACAGGAAGTGGAAGGGGCAGTGACCTGGTGAAGATCAAAGGGGACTCGGCACAGAAGGGTGATGGGCAGGTGCACCCAGAACGTTCCTGCCCTCCCTGGGTAAGGATTCGGGGGTGACGCCTCTGCTGATCTAAAGGCCAGGTTAAGAATAATAACTGACATTTATTGGACAGTCACGGTGTCTTTCAAGAAATTTGGACATGGTTCAGAGGACAGGCCACCAAGTCAGAGCGCCTGGTGCAAATCCCTGCTCCAGGACAGGATTGTCGGGCGAGATCGCTAACTGCCCCTCAGTTGCCTCATTTGTAAAACGGGTAGAAAAACTGTATTTCTGCCTCAGAGGGTTATTGTGAGAATTAAATGAGTTAATCTACATAAAGCTGTTGAATACGTTTGCACCTAGCAAATGCTCAGTAAGCATGAGCTACTCTTATCTCAGCGAAGGCTCACCACCACCCAAGAGGGAGGTATTAATGTCGTCACCCCATTTCACAGAGGGGGGGACTGAGGCTCACAGGAGAGAAATCGCTTATTAAACCCCCACAGCCAGGAAGCGGAAGAGCTAGTGCTTGACCTCAGGCCTGTGTGGCTCCAGGCCTGGAAGCTTAACCCCTGCCGCAAACCACCAGGCGCACCACAAGGCCACAGAGGTAGCCCTGCTGGCCGGAAACCTAGGAGCCCCCGCTGCCCCCCAGGCTGCCCCACCGGCACCCCCCTCCCCGTCTAACCTCATGTTCCACTTTGCCGACTCCCTCTGAGGCTGATTCTGACATTTGTTTAAAGGGTTTAGAAGTAGAGGTGAGGCTGTGGTGGGGAGCCTGGAGGGCTCCGGGTTCCAAGCTGCCTCTGGCGATGGCTCTGGGGTCTGGAGGCCCTCAGCCAACTTCCACTTCCCTCAAAGTCTGGGAGGAAGGCCCCTGGGAGCCATGGCACCCCAGCCTGAGGAATGCCAGCCAGAGCCTTGGCCTGGCCGGCAGCAGAGCCCAGATTTCCTTTACCCCAAGCTCCAGCCAGCCTCTCAAACCCTGGCTAGAAGAGTCCACCTTCAGCCCTGCTCACCCTCCTCCGGCCCCCCTCACAGACCTGCCTCGAAGGGGACTTACTGGGGTGGACCGCCGAGAAACTGCAAGGTCGCCCTCCTGCTGCCATGACAGCCTGGACCTCGAGTTAATCCATAACTGCAAATATTTGCTTGGCCCTTGGTGCTGAGGCCTCCCTCTCCACAGACAAACAAACAAGTTCCCGGCTCAGGACTGCTCTGTGTGCCCCAAGCCCACCTGTGCCCATCAGTGGTGCCTGCAGGAGGGAAGGAGGGAAGGGGTGGGCGACGTCAAAACTGTCTACAGACGCGGCCTCATTTTAGCCTCATAGCAGCTGGCTGAAGGAGGGGCATTGTCCCCCTTTAGCTGATGGGGGCATTTTTACCCGGAGATACTGCGGTTTGCCTCAGATCAGCACAACCGGTAATGATATTTCACCAAATCTAGGATGCCATTAGTTATAAGATGCGTCTATTTTATGTGTCAGCGTAAAAGAAAAGAAACATTGTTAATTACTCAATGGCCGGCCATCCTGATTACATCATGATGGTTTGATGTAAAACATGAAAAGATACGCCTCTCAGGGTCCCTACCACATGGGTGCCAAGCACTCGGCTAAACTCTCAGCTCCAGCCGCTCCGGTAACTGCCCCCCAAGCCCACACACACGCACACGCGACTGCACACGACTATTCCCATAACCTCGATTTTGCAGATGAGGACGCTCAGAAATCTTTTGTCACTTGCTCAAATTCACGGAGCTGGTAAGTGGCGGGGCTGGATTAGAACTCGGGTCTTCCCAGCACCTCTTGGCCACTTCTGTGAGCAAGTGAGAAAAATAAACAGGATTCCGAAAAGGCTGCAGTCAGTTCTTGACCGGTTTGCCACAAAAGGCAGGAGCAGAAGTAAAGGGTTCGACCTGGAGCCTCTGCCCTGGCCCTGCGGTCTGTCAGCATTTATTCTGTACCTTCCTTCCTGTACCGGGAAACCCCCAAACCCCACTCCCTCCTTGGAGGACTTGACCAAACTCCTCAAACTCCCAGCCCCTGAACGGCTCATGTGACCCTGCCCTGCTGGCCTCTGGTGATGGCACCAGGAAGTCCCCTGACCCAGGAGTCCATCAGATTCTCTCCCTCGGCCCCGAGGAGTATGGCATTAGAGCCTCGTTCCATTGTGAGCCCTGGACTCACAGATTTTTTAATTTTTTGGCCACGCCTTGCAGCGTGCGGAATCTTAGTTCCTCGACCAGGGATCACACCTGCGCCCCCTGCAGGGGAAGCACGGAGTCTTAACCACTGGAACACCAGGCAAGTCCCTGGACTCAGATTTTGAAGCCAGAGGCTAGGCACTGACGTTTCCGACTAAAGCAGCCGAGGCTGATGAGGTGGAAGATGTAGAACGTGCAGACAGAGGCTGAGAGTCGCGGGTGGGCTGCGGGCGGGTGGTAGCATCCTACCTCGTCATGACCGGGGCATATCCTACCGTTGGCTTCATGGCGGTCCCCCTGTGCTCCTGGGAAACCCCCTGTTTCCTTACGTCTCCTTGCAACCAGACGCCTCCTACTGGGGTACAGCACCGTGCCCGGTTGTGGAGTACAAGGCCCTTGTGCTGCCCACACGGCCCACTGGAGAAGACCAGAGGAACAGGGTGACCGTCTAACAAGGCAGACCCACTGGGCGGAGGCCAGGTGACAGGTGCAGATGGCGACGCTTATGGAATTCCGAGGAGAGGGAAATCAGCACAAGTGGGATGGTCAGGGAAGGCTGCCTGGAGGACGCAGAGCTTCAGCTGGACATCAGAGGGCAGGCAGGACCCAGGTAAAAGAGGAAGGGCCCTCAGGTGGGGAGGGGGAGGGGACAGGGTTTGGGATGGAGCCTCGAGAAAGTGGGGAGCCAGCGGCTGTTTGTAGGGTCTGGGGCCACTGCTTGGAGAAGGGAAGTCACGGTCCTGTCGACTCGGGTAGGAAGCATGGAGACGACGTGCCTGACCACACAAGAGGGGAGGCTTGCAAGCTGAGGAATGTGTGAAAATGCCTCCTGCACCCCTGTGCTTGCTCCAGGGCCCTCCCCCATGGGTCTGCGGCATCACCTCCACTCCACCGCCTGCCACCCCTCACCCCGCCTGCCAAGTGCAAGGCGCTGTGTGTGTTCACAGGGACTCCCGCCCATCTTCCCTTCCCCACCACCTCCTTGCCTCCCACCTGCTCCCCAGCCTAGCCCAGGAGATCAGCTCCATGTGAAGTCTATGTAGGGTCCACCACGGGCCCTGACCAAGAATAAGGGACTCTGCCCGAGGCACCCCCTTCCAAACCAGCCCAGATGCCCACTGGCACCCAGAAGAGCCAGAGCACCTGCACTGGGAGGAGTGACCAGTGCTGCGGTCCGCAGAGGCCAGGAGGTCTCCTTTTGCTCTTTATGCCTGTTGGCCTCCTGGGGCGCTGCAGTGCGGGTGCCCGCATCACGGCCTCCGCATTGGCTGCCAGCGCAGGAGACCCGGCTCACCTTCCTGAAGCAGGGAAGGTCCACGCCACCAGCTATTGCCGAGTTCTGCTGGTTCTGAAAGCCTGGCATCACCTGGAGAGTCCAGGTGCAGCCTGGAATCCAGCGTCTCTGCTTACCTGCAACAGGATTCCAGCAGGGGGCGCTGCTCTGGTCCCACAGAAGGGTCCAGACCGCTGCTCCAAGGTGCAGCTTAACCGGGCTTGGTGGGCGCGGATGACCGACCTTGTCTGGCTCTGGGGTTTCTCTTCCCAGGTGTGTCACCCCACATGGGCCCGAATTCTGTCAGGTCGACTCCAGATGCTAGAGCAGAATTTAGGCATCCCAGCCAGAGGTGATTGAGAGATAGGAAGGACGTCTGTGTGCAGGGAATTCCCTGAATTTGTGAGGACCCAGGTGAAGGAACAAGAAGCAAAGGTGTGTGTGTGGGGAAACAGAAAGTCAAAATTATCAGACGGCATCCAGCAGTGGGGTGTTCAAAAACCTCATCTTTGGGGTCAGGCTTACGCGGGTTTAAACCTCATCTTGGCATCTTCCTGGCTGGGTGTTTAACTTCCCTGGGCCCCAATTTCTACTCCGTAAACGAGGCCAAGAATAGCATCCACCTCAGGTGGTTGTTATGAGGATCAAATAGTTTCTACAAGGTGAGCCTGACACTTAACAGGTGATCGATTAATCGACAACAATTTTCTCTTGGGCTCCCCAAATATCCCAGAGAGAAGGTGAGGATCAAACCCCCCGGGGGGAATGATGTCAACAGCACAAGGACACATTGATTCTTTTTCTTTTAATTTTATATCGGAGTATAGTTGATTCACAATGTTGTGTTAGTTTCAGGTGCACAGCAAAGTGATTTACTTATACATATTCATAAACTATTCTTTTTCAGATTTTTTTCCCAAATAGGTTATTACAGGGTCTTGAGTATAGTTCCCTGTGCTATACAGTAGGTCCTTGTTGATTATCTGTTTTACATATAGTAGCGTGCATATGCCAGTCTTAACCTCCCACTTCATCCCTCCCCCACCTCTTCCCCTTGGCAACCACAAGCCTGCCCTCTAAGTCTGTGAGTCTGTTTCTGTTCTATAAACAAGTTCATCTGCATCATTTTTTTAGATTCCACATATAAGTGATATCATATGATATTTGTCTTTCTCTGTCTGACTCACTTCACTTAGTGAGTCCATCCACGGACTCACTTAGGTCCATCCATGTTGCTGCAAATGGCATTATTTCATTCTTTTTTATTATTATTATTCTTTTTTTAAAAAATAGGTTTGAGGTATAATTTACATGCAGTAAAATTCACTCCTCTTGAATGAACAGTTCTGTTTGTTTTGACAAATGTCTGTAATAGTGTAACCACCAGCACAATAATTAAATGGGACATTTTTAACACCCCCAGCCCCTGGCAACCACTGATCTGATTTCTGTTGTTTTTTGTAGAATGGCATATAAATGGAATCCTTACAGTATGTAGCCTTTTTAAAACTGGCTTCTTTCATTCAACATGAAG